TCGTGTTTTAGCGCCTTCATTTGTGTTTTAGCGCTTTCGTTTGTGTTTTAGCGTTTTCGTTAACGTTGTAGCGCTCTCGTTCATGTTTTAGCACTTTTGTTCGTGTTTTAGCACTTTTGTTCGTGTTTTAGCGCTTTTGTTTGTGTTTTAGCGCTTTCATTTATGTTGTAGTGCTTTTGTAATTTGTAATTGTGCTTTCAATATGCTGAAGTGGTTTGCACCTCAGGGCCACCATAAGAGTAAAACCTCCTGTACAGTCGAGTACGACCTGTTTCCAATGCCACTGATCATATGGGATCTTTGGGCTGCACTTGGTCTGGTTCCTCACCTTGGACCCGTCTGCATCAGATGGCCCAACCAGAGGCATGAAGCCCCAACTGCATAACTCCTAGGATCACTAGGACACTCAAACCCCCCACCACGATAAGGTGGCAGCCATGGAGGGGACGTGTAAATGTGTGCATGTGTGTGTGTATATGAAGGAAAGAGAGAAAGTGAGAGACAATGGAAGAAAGTTGTTAACATGAGGAAACAAGCACAATCTGGAGGTAATCATATTCTGACTTTTGGTCTATTTGTTTAGTTTTTAAAAAGTTTTTTAGGCTCTAATAAAGTGTTTTAGGCTCTGGTAGCTGTTATTTTACAGTGATTGAACAGGAAATTGGGAGGAAAAAGGAGGGAATGACATGCAGCAGATTAAACCCAGGACTGGGAATTAAACCCAGGTTGACAAACAAAACCTATAAGTAACGACCTAAACAAAACATAATTTGCAGTCTTACTATGAAGCTGGTAAAAAATTTAGGCATTTCTTTGCCTCTTTTTCTTCTCTTTTACATGAGCAAACAGCAATAAGCTCAACCACACAAAAGCTTCATATTTATTACAAAGTATTTATCTAAGAATCGATTTCTTCCTGAAATGGAAATGATTTCTGATTAAGTTCTCTGTTTTCATACTTTCATGGATTGTTCTTTATTCCATTTTCTAAAGTTTTCATGTTGAATTGCACTTTTTTGTTAAGTTTATCTTGAATTTGTGATTGTAAAGTCTAACAGAAAGATCACACAGTAACTTTTATCTTTGATAAAAACCTGTTTTTTCTTATAACAAACTAACTAACCAGATATAACAACTTTGGGCTTCTTCACAGTCCAGATTATTAAATTATGATTACAATTATCATCTAATACTATGTACAGATTTAACTCTAATCTTAATTCAACTGGAACTTGAAAAAGTCCAAACGTGTTAAATCACGTTTTTCATGTTTGGTATAAAAAGAAAACCAGGATTTATTATCAAAGACAAAAAGGTAAATGGGCTGAACTTCCCAGTCATGCTGATCACTCAAAGCACTTCACACTACAGTCACATTCACCCACACACACATTTACACCCACATGCAGGTCGCTGGGCAACTTGCCGCTAAATGCCCTGCCCAATGGTGCCTCAACATGTGGCTGGGGAAACTGAAATCCAACCTACAACCTTCTGGTCAGAAAACGACAAGTTTAAAATTTTAAAACTTTAGAGTTTTTAATGTTTAAATAGAGTTTTTTAACGTTTAAAAACTTAGTTTTTTTTTTAACTTTAAAGGCTTAACGTTTTAGAACTTTAAAGGCTTAACGTTTTAGAACTTTAAAGGCTTAACGTTTTAGAACTTTAAACACTTTAACGTTTTAGAACTTTAAACGCTTAACGTTTTAGAACTTTAAACGCTTAACGTTTTAGAACTTTAAACGCTTAACGTTTTAGAACTTTAAAGGCTTAACGTTTTAGAACTTTAAAGGCTTAACGTTTTAGAACTTTAAACGCTTAACGTTTTAGAACTTTAAACACTTTAACGTTTTAGAACTTTAAACGCTTAACGTTTTGGAACTTTAAACGCTTAACGTTTTAGAACTTTAAACACTTTAACGTTTTAAAAGTTTCAAAGTTTTAAAACTTGCCCCGAACACAGAGGTTACAACCTGCATGCAGTCCTCAGTTCAATCTTCTTTATCGTTGTTACTCTGTGGTTTTCTTTTTGATTTCTTAAATCCTTGCAGATTTTTTAATCTTTTCCAAATTGTACATCTTCTTGGATCTCGGGTTCTTCCATGGCTTCAGGATCCATAAAACAACCTGGTACAGTTTCTCCAGGTTGTTCCTCCTCAGAAGAACGTCAAAGTGAGCCTGGGAAGCGATCACCACGGCTTTCAGGACTTCTGGGTCACTGAATCTCTGCAGTCTCTCAAGTTCTGCCTTTGCCTCGTAGGCCTGATCAAAAAACGCAGCTTTCAGTTCTTCCTGCTTTTTCAACTGGAAATTCATTTCTTCCAAATCTTCGTCCAGTCTTTCTTTCTCTTCATACCTTCTGGCAGTTTCCTTTTTCAGAAGGGTGCTCAGTCTTCAGATTTCGGCTTATAAGTCGGGGTTTAGAGGGCACCTGCCTTGGGGCTTTTGCTGGTTTCCCCTCCTCGCATCGGGTCCCGTCATTCCACTATTGGATCTTTGAGTATGTTGAGACATTTTCTCCAAATATCATCACTAAAATCGTCAATCGGTAATATATTGTAAAGAGATTTGCAGACGTCTGAACTTGTCAGTAGTATTGCAAGCAATGACAAATATGCAGAATTGTGTTCTGCAGTTGATGACAACACAGACGGCATCGCCAGTAACATCACAGAATCTCCCTTTGCTGGTAGTGTGTCATTCCACCTCCAAATATCTTGTTTATATTCAAAATAGTCCATGATTCACTTGTTTTATATCACAGACATCAAACTCATTTCCATTTGGACCCAGATCAAAAATCTTAATGTTGTGCCGGATTGTATTGATAAAAACCAATTCAATTGATAAAATATCAATGAATAGGTGTTTTAGCATTAAATAAGTGTTTAAAATGAAATAATATTGAACATCTTTTCACACTACTGCGATTGTTAAAACTTTTGCAGCACAACTCTTTGGAGATAAAAATGAACTAAAATAATCAAATGTATCTTTTAAGACTCCAAGTGAACTTGGGGTTTCCCAACAAGACAATGTTGACTGTTTTAACTCTTCACCTCCTCACCTGGTTTGGTCACATAAGCTGCAGACCAGCAGACAAACTTTAATAAAACTTTCAATAGCGGGTAAAGTAGCAGGTAAATAAATGGTGCTGAGACCAAAAACAACTCTATCTCCACTGTTTGCTGAAAGAACATGGAAGATGGCGAGGAATATTTTAGTAGAGACCATCCATCCTCATTTTTCATCACTTTGAACCTCTGAGCTGATAAAGGTGTTATTGTTACTCTGGCAACTAACAACATGCATTAGAAGTCATTTATTGATAGTACAATAATTATTCTTAACCAAATTAAATAACATTTACCTTAGTATGCTAAGTGTATTTCTCGATGCACAAATTGTTGATATTGCTCAGGGATTCAAAGATTGTTATTGTCATATCACCCACCGGCCACCAGGGGCTCCCCAAAGTGCCCCAGTCTGGCTCCAAGGTCTACAGTGGCCCTGAGGTTCAAACCATTTCAGCAAATTGAAACCACAATTACAAAAGCACGATGACATGAATGAAAGCAAAACAACATTAATGAAAGCTCCTGTTTCCGTCTGAGCCAGGAGGCGGGACTTAGTGTTGTCAATCAACCTCACGCATGCGGCGCTAAATGTACTAATGGCGGAGAAACAACTTAATGTTACTGAAAAATCGTCTGTCTGCTGTCATCAGTTGGTCATGCTAACTAACCGTAGCATTGACTACAACATTGTGATTGACAGCGCTAAGACCTGGCACCTGGCTCTGATTGGTTGTTTCTAGTTAGCACAAGGAGAAGGCAGAGGACATCTTTTTTTTTCAGATTATCTCTTTCAAACCATACTGTGTGTATAACATAAAGCTACATAATTTTTAAAGTGTAATCAGTAATACTTTAATAACAAATTTATGTGAGATCACAATTTCTTGGTTAACGTCAAGTTGTCATAACAAAGACATTTTGAATAATGTCAACTTTGTATAAAACCTGTCATGACACTTTATGACAACATTCATGCAGACTTAATCATGTTCATGACAGGTGTTATGACAGTCTTATTCACAACCCGTCAAATAAAGTGTTACTGCTGATTTTACCTCATGACTCTGAAAGTATGGAGAGGGGGGCAAAGAGGTCTGCAATAAATCCATTTCTCCCTCTTACAGCAGTCATCATCCTGAGTTCACAATTGGCGCCAAACACCATGGCAACAAAGATTACCATATCTGGCATCACAATGGCACATTGTGGCCAAAAGCAAGAGAAGTAAACAAGATTTTGCATACAAGCTCTGCTTCTGTTTCCCGGCTCCCGTTTTTCACCAGCCTGTCTTCGCTTTCCCACGCAGCGAAGACGCGCTGCGTCCCCCGCTTTCCCCCGATGCACACGTGGTGCCAGCAAGCGGCGATCCGACGCGCACGCTCAGCTGACTCGTGAAGGGCCCGTGCGGCCAAAGCGCCAGTCCGTCTGCTGATCTTAAGACAGCGCGCTGAGCTGAAACCACACAGGAAATGGTGGGGAACTTATCTACATGCAAACAGGATGTTGCACAGGCTGCTGGAGAAATGTTGCTCATATATTTAAAAGAAAAATTGACACAAGTGTCATCCTTGACAAAATAGTGTGAACTTTTTGAACTTTATTCATTAACTTTATTATTTTTTGAATTTTTTATTTATTTATTTTAAATAATTTTTCTCACCTCAAAATTAAAGCTAACATATATTTTCTTCACCTTTTTGGAAAACAGACATGCAGTACTTTGGAAGAGTGAGCTTACAAAGTAGAAGGAAGGTTCCACTTGTTTTTTCTCAACCCCTGTTGAAAAACACCCCTACTTATTTTCAACAGTTGTTGAAAATAAACGCCCGCCACACTTTTCAGATTTTTTTTTTTTTTTCTCCCAGTAAATGCAGTGAAGCTTTGTGGCTGTATAGCTTTCAAAAAAAGTGGCAAAAGTTCTCGGGCAATGCTCACTTTGTCAAAAGCACACGTCTTGGCTTTTCTTTAAAAAAAACATCTCGGGTGTTCTCCACCGAAACCTTGAAGGTTTAAGTTTTACACTCCGGACAGATCGAATCTGATGCGATCCATTCAGTAGCAGTGGCACCCATTAAGAAAAATGTCCTCATAGCTTCAGGACATAAAGGAACAAAGAGAAATCAATAAAAGTGGTATTGCTGGTGACACCGGCCAGCCCAACAGGTTGTTCTCCTGCAGGGCCTCTGGCTGCTGTGACTGAGTGTCATTAGCTTGGTGGAGGTTACCCTGCTTAGACTGGCTGCCTTTAATCCGTCAGTCACCTCTGTTATCCTATTAGTCAGCTGCACTGATGGAAAACAGCTGCAGCGACAGCGTGAAGGTGGAAGGAGGGAGGGCGCTGCAAAGAAAGACTTTTTTTCTTTAGGTTACTGTCACTAAAGTATCACCAATGAAGCAAATTCAGTCAGAAATCAACAGCGGGTGATGCAGACCGGGTGATGCAGACCGGGCGGGCTCGCTTTTAATGATCTGGGAGGATTTCTGGCTGGATGATCAGAACGGTGAGGATGCTGGGGGGCGTAGCGGCGTTGTGCCCCTCGCGGCCAGCCTTCAGGAGCTAACCCGCCCGCCTCTCGCTGCCTGGGAGCGGAGGGAACAGCAGCCCCGCGCCTCCCCGCCCTCTGCCGTCCTCCACCTCCGCGGACGACAGGAGAGGAGGCGCAGCCCGCTTCTCCTCCAGCCTCCGCTGCTGCCTCGCGCGGAGTCAACTTGCATTCAAACAGGCAGTTGGGAGCGCGTGCTCTCGCTCGGAGCTTCTGGCGCCGGATTCCGACTCGCCCCTCCGGTCCGCTCCACGCCGAGCCTCCGGCGGCTGCGGCTGCGGCGACGAGTGCCGGGACGCCGCTCGCCGCCCCGGAGCGACTTCAGGTCAGTGCCGAAGCCGGAACGCGTGTTTCTGACACTTTGTAGCGTCACCTTCTTTTCTAATTCTGGTTTCTAAGCTGGCTGCGTTAAACTGAGAGGTGAACACGCGGGATTAAAGTCTTAGCGAGGACGAGCAGGTGTTGAACTGTAACTTTCCTGACTGATTTGAAACACCCAGAGCGGCGCTGCCTTCCTGTCTGCATGTTTACCTCCTGCTTGTTTTTCTACCACCTGCTTAGTATTTTAATTGCTCGCATGCTTCTAGCACATGAAGTTATTTTAAAGGAAAGCTAACATCAAACATTAAAGGTGGGAGGCTCCAAAATATTGATGATGTTGGTATCTGATCTGATCTGATTGATACTAACGTGACACTTTAGTTTCATGTTCCCTCTTGATTTTGTTTTTAATGTTTTTCTTTCATTGTTTCTTATCACTGCCATTAAAAAAGATTTTGATGTGTTCATAAAAGTCATCTGTTTACTTGGAAAACCATGCACACACAAATGAGTTTATTATTTTTTTTCCTGTTCATCATGGAAACATGTGGTCAAAATATTTTGTAGGTTATCTATAAATGTTATCTAAATTAATAATTATTAGGATTGTGTTCAGTACCTGCAATACCTCTTGGTATCGGATTGATATCAAAATATGCTGCATCGCATGCCTCTGTCAATTTCATTTTTCCCCATTCTCAAGTTGACGTTTGACTCAATCCTTTTATGATGTAAAAACACAAATGCAAAAGTTTACTGTTGGAGTCTAAATTGTTCGGGGTTTATGTTAAGGCAGCTGGAAATATCGAAAACTAGACGGTAAAAAGGAAGGAGGACGGGATGCATGACAGGATAGATAACGGACTATTGGATGGATGAATGGACACACTGATGGAATAATAGACGGACAAACAGACCGATGAATAAATTGATGCCAAGGCTTTTTTTTCTGTTGGATGCAGAGGCGGCTGGAATACCCAAAAATTGTACTCAGAATACAAGTAGCAATTCTTCAGGATCATGTGAAGGTAGAAAGTAATCATCCAAGAAATTAGTTGTGGTGGTTTTAGAGATCAGGATGTCTCGGACCTTAAGAGTTTTTCTGCGTACACGACACATTGAAAAACGTGTTGCCGTCAGCCTCCTTCACTTGTGGTGGTGCTGCACCAAGAACAACTGAAGGAAACAACAAAAAACCTCAGAAGAAAACACTGTGCTGAACTTCCTCCTTCACAAAATGTAATAAGAAGAATGGTGTGGCATCACATTTTAGCAATTGAAGATTTTTCTTCTCTTTAGTGAAACACCACAAGTTAATTCTCCTACTGGAACTACTCCCACCAGTTTGTTTTGGTTGTATCTAACCTGAATGCCATGCCCTGTAGTTTGTTTCCTGCTTTTGGAGGAGTCTCCGGTTCACTTGGTGTTCACACGTGCATTCGAATCGCACCACAATTCACTTCAACCGACCCTAGGTTTGTAGAAACAAGAGTTCGGTTATTATTTGTTCCATATCAGAGTTTTGATTGTGCATTTGCCTCTCCCCAAATGAGCCGGACGTTCAAGGCAACCACACTCGAGTTTGGTTAAAGCGGACTAATCAGACCTGGTGTTATTGCGCCCTAGGTTTCCTTCCTAAACCTGCTACCTTCTAGACATAATCTCAGATATGCAGGGGGAAAAAATGATGGATTGATAATAGAAAAATTTAGAAATTTATACCTTTTGCATCTGATTTTTCTACATTTTTTTTCTTACTTCTATAGACTTGGAAAATACCTTTGCAGTTCCAAACTGGATGGGAACCCTGAGTGTTTCTGTCTAACTAGAGCAAACCTTACCTCTTTGACTTAAGTGTTTGCTGCGTTTCCTTTGGTTTAAGCCTGTGCAACTGTTGAATTTACAGCACACTGTGAGCTCACAAGAAGAGATGTCTCCGCACTAAACACTTTAATAGGAGCTGGATAGTCCCCTGGCACCAAGCTCATTAAGAGCAACAAAAGGATTTCCTTTGATATATTCTCTTAATATGTAGTAAACATTAATCAGTCTTGCTTTCACGGCCTGCAGTGTCCCATGTGTTGGTAAATTCCAAGTTTATGGGCTTGGAGTTTTGTTGTGATCCCAGAGATGTCATTTCCTAATGAAGGCGTCTGCAGCTTGTTGCTTAGTTTTTTGGTGGGGGGGGTTTATGAACAACAAGCCTGTGGAGTAAAGGCACAGAGGCCCTGGCTCATCAGTTCTTTAATCTGACTGGATGGGTTGACCTGGGGTAGCCGAGCTGCGGTGTTTATAGCAGCTGGGGGCCAGAGCTGTACGGGGCCTTAAGCAGAATTTGATTTGGTGGGGCTTTCCTACTACCACTGTCCCTCGTTTAAAGATTGGTGCAAACTTCAACTTGTACGACCATTATTTTGCTTTATAGCTAGAAACTAATGTTGTCAGCACTGAGGTTGTCAAAAGTGATTATCTTGATTTGCTGTTACTATTTAAAGATATTTTTGCATCAAATCGGTCGAGTGACTCATTCACTTTTGGCCTAAATTTTTGTATTTCTTTTTTTTTTCAGACTTTTATAGAGAAAGCTTATCATATATAATGAAGTAGAACGAATGCACTACTGACTCTACTGTCCTTCACTTTCATAAAGAACAGTAGAGTACAATATCAATATTGTTCCACATTTGGTGAAAATCAGGCAAGTTAAAGGTTAATTGAATCATTCATGTTCAAACTAGTACTGAAAAAGATATAAACACAGAATGATATACTGAAAAAGATATAAACACAGAATGATATACTGAAAAAGATATAAACACAGAATGATATACTGAAAAAGATATAAACACAGAATGATATACTGTGCACTAGTGACAAATGTATAGTTTAACTAATCAATACTGCACAGTTCTCAACATTAACCCTTACACTAACTGTTATCTGATGTGCCAAACAGAGAAGCCACATTTTCAAATGATATATTTTCATAAATGATGGCTGAATTATCCCCTACCCATCTGTTTTGCCCTAATAAAGCTAAAACATTGTTATATTATAAGCCTGGCGGGTAACCAGAGTTTTCTACTTCTAACTTCTAAGACTGAGAACTTAACATTGGTACAGCTATGGAGTATAGAATGGATATCTAGCCAAAATTAACAAGAGTTTTACAATTGCATAATTGGTGCTAAAAGTTCACATCTGCAAATGTGACTATTGTGAGAATTAGGGTGATCCCTGGGGATGCTACAACTGACGGAACCAAATTTTGGATGCTTATTTGTTTTCTCTATTAGCAAACGTAATTGGTTCTGTGACATGCGACAGGAAACTATTTTAAGAGGAAGGCTCTGCTGATAATTGCCGCCTCAGCCAGACTTGGTCCTGTCTTTCCTGAGTGCTCTAAAGATTTCAATCCAGAGGGGAATGTAATTCCCCTGAATGGCAATCCTTTTCTCAAGCTCTTTTACCACGGGTCACAGTGAATCACAGCAACTTTCACCAGCTGCCAGCCAGATGAAGACGCATCGCTAGGCAAGGCCTGATGAAACCACTCTAGTGGTGATGCCGCCGTTTCCACTTCAAAGCACGCCGGTGCTGAACGGAAAGTATTCCACACTCCAGTGCCCAACGGCTCATTCCAAAGTTTCCGCGAGTTTCTCATAACGATCCGACTTCCTGCTTTAAGAGCTTTCCTGTAAGGTATCTTCCTTTGGTCCTCGGCTGCCGTAGTGTGAAGGTTGAGTCCAAGTCAGCTCTGGCTTTGCTGTAATCAGTTATTCAGTTCTGCCATTCAGTCAGACAGAGAAATCCCCATGCCTCACCACACACCCAATCAGCCCTTTAAGTGCGCGGCTTTACAGTTGTAGGTCTTCGACTGAGGCTGCAGCAGAAAAATGTTTCCAGGCTCCAGGGGGGTTTGGTGGTCGGCAAGCCGCTGCAGCTTGTACAAGTATATTTCACCAATAGTTGTCCTGCATTGGGGCCTCTTGGCTCAGTCACAAACCGTCTTTTCTTCCTTCACAGTATTCCCTTTGGACATCTCTCTGCCTTTTTTATTTGCCCTCTGTTTCCACTTAACAGTCCTGGCTGTTTTCCAAGAAACACCTCAGCATTAGTCTTTTTTTTTTTTTTACCCTTTCTGAAAACCTGAGCAGACTGCACAAACTCTGCGGGGAATGCATGGCATTTCCTACTTGTGAACATTCACAAGAAAAGGAAAACGTCCTCAGCCACATTTTCCCTCAGTCGCGAAGTTATCACAGATGACTGCTAAATGACAATTAAGGTCCGCCATCCTCCGCCTGTCAAGAATCCCCGTGATTGCCGCCTTAATCTTTCCCGAGCGCAATCAGCTGCGTTGAGACGACATGCCTGTCCTGCAATTAGGCTCGTCAGATTAATTTATTGCTGCTCCTTTGGTGATGCTTATTGGCAGGTGCCTTTTGGTGGAGCACAGCATGACAAATGCCAGCTTCCGCTGTATGTAAAAACCATGTTGTACCACTCTTAGCACCACAACCAGAGATATTGTTTTCCTCTTGATCTGAATTTTGTTTAGATTTCTTTGTTGAGCAAGTCGTTTATTTGCCATCCTGATTATTTGGCCAAGGCACTTGCAGTACCTAAAAGTATTTACATCTTTTGATGTCAGATGTTATGCAATACGATGACACAAATGGAAAAAGGTGCCAACATGATCTCCTATCAAAACCCTGTGTTTTATTTAATCTAAGTCATTCTCACGTTTGGTTAGGTCCCGGTTCAGTGGACTCTGTTCAGTTGGGGACCAAAGTTGCAACATTTTACATTTTCAGGTGGTGTGGTTCAATTTCACACTGGACTGTCAAATGAACCAAACCCTTTGAGAAATATATTTAGTCTTTCACTTGTGGTGGCACTGTCCCAAGTATCAATGAAAACTATAGAAGACACTGAACACAGCTAACTTCTTCACAAAATGTAGACACCAGAGTTTGATTGTGCATTCATACCACTACCTGA